GGTGAGAAGGCAGGGTAAAACCGGGAGAGTGTAGTCACATGACCTGGCTCTCAGCCAAGATGGCGGCGAAAAGGTCACCTGACCCATCTGGCCTCCAGCCAAGATGGCGACCGCCATGTGTAGTCTGCTCAGTTGGAAAGCCCGCCAAGCCACAACAAAAGCCGCAGAGGGGAGGGGCAAAAGGCTGGAACCGAAAAACGGCTGTGTATAGTTTAATGGGGCCATTTTGGACAAAAACTGGTAAGTGTGAGGCATTAAAAGATGATGCCAGAGTGATAGGTCTGGATGGATTGGCTCCCGTGGTCAAGGCCATGCAAAGACCTGCAAAAACCGTGGCACCTCAAGCCTACAATGAGAACGGCTCCCCGTTAAGGCGAGATGCAGATGGCACGAACATCCACTGGCCCTATGGAAAGGCGTCCGATTCCATAGGGGGGGGGTGTTATAACCTGGCAGAATCGACTCGAGCCTCCGACGGGAGAGCGATTCCCGGGCAGGAGGGATTCAGCCAAGGTCAGGCCGCACCAAGCAGCGTGCTGCACTGTAGCAGCAGTTACGACAAAAGAAGGAAGGAAGAAAAGTAAGGAAAAAAAGAAAAAGAGAGAACTGGAGACCCCGGGCCTCCAGGCGCAGGTGAGCTGAGGCTTAACACAGGAGACAAGCCGAATTGAATGCCAGCGAAGGGAACCGAGGCCCTGAAGGCCCGCGGTTGGAGGTTCCCCCATCCNCTGGTCTACAAGAGCTAGTTCCAGGACAGGCTCCAAAGCCACAGAGAAACCCTATCTCGAAACCCCCCCCCCCCCCAAAAAAAAAGAAGAACCGCCCAATCATCCGTACCAGGCCAGCACTCTACCAACTGAGATGTACCCCCAGACGTTTCATCAGATGCTAGCATTGACGGAGGAGCATTTTCTCTTTTATTATAGATAGAAGCCCAAATGACCAGGATGTGTTCCCCGAGCTGCCACTCTGTGTCTGTCAAGTGGCAGCAGCTCAGCAGAGATGCCCCTGAGCCTCTGCAGGCTCCAGCCCGGGTGCCTTCCTTGTTTCACAACGACAGACTCCTTGTCTACGGATTCGTTCCCCACTGTACCCAGGTAGGAAGATGCACAGTTCCTTACACCGTGGGGAAGACAATGAATGATGCTGCTCCTCTCCCCTCCAGCGCTTGGCCTCTTGTTGGCATTATGGTCCCCCCACCCCGGGTACCTGGCCGGAGAAGCTCTTGATTTCTCTTGAGATGGGAGGATGTTACCAGAAGGGCTGCTGTTCCACTGTTCCACTTGCTGGGAGTAGAAAAGTTAACGAAACACTCGTGTTTCTCCTATTTCAGGCAACTCTGTGTGCACTCATCCAAGAGAAGGAATTTCATACAATGGTGTCAACTACCGAGCTTCAGAAGACAACTGGGACTGTGAGTCAAATCTTAAGTACTGGGCTGTGGGTAGAACTCAGCGGGAGAACACCATCCAAGCAGGCGGAAGGCTCTCTTCCGCTTCCCATACACGCTTAAGCTGGGGACAGACAGTCAAGATTTTCAGCTCTCACATATAAGCTCCATGTACTTCCTTTGTTGTGCTGATGTGTCGGCATACATGAAGGGAGGTCAGGGGTTCTCTGTGCAGTCGGGATGGGGACGCATCCCTTTGATGGGTCTTCATCTGGGATTCTTGGATCTGGGTGTATCTCTACAGGGTTCCATGGGTGTGAGTAATTGCAAGTAAACATGAGATTTTTGCCAGGTTGAATTGTGTTTACACACTTACAACTCCAGCACTTGGGACGTAGAGGCATTAGGACTGGGAATTTGAGGTCCTCCTTGGATACAAAGCAAGTTTGAGGCCAGCCTCGGCTACATGAGACCCTTTCTCAGAACAAAACGTGATTATCCATTTTGGTTTTGTTTGAGATACTGCCTAGCTCAAGGTGGCCTTGAAGATGAAGCACTTCTCGTGCCTCAGCCTCTTGAGCACTGGTATTCCATTCGTGCACCACCACACTCTGACAGTGTCTAGCAAAGGTTGTCACAGACCCCGTGGGTAAGGACGTGCTCCACAAAACTCCCCAGATGCCAGTCGCAAGTCTTTGTCTCACGTTTCCCGCTTGTCCAGCTTGCCCAGCTTGCCAAAGTTGGATCGGAGTTGGAGGTTCCCTCAGTCCTTTCTCAGAACTTAGCAGAACAGTTCATTTACTGTTGCTGATTATTACAGTGAAGGCCCAGATCTTTTTTTTTTAATCTTTTTTTTTAACAGTGTTTTTAATTTTTTATTCTTTTGAGAATTTCATACATGGGTACTGCATTTAGATCTCTCCTTCCCTCTCCAATTCCTCCTGAGTCAACTCCCCACTCTCAAGTTCATGACCTTTTCTTTTATGATTATTGTTATTCTTAAAAAAACGATTAGAGAGCGGCTACAAACGGTCCCCAGGCGGGCTGGCGGAGGGAGCCCGCCATGAGGGGCTACAGGAGGGCACGCTTCCTTGGCCCACGGTGGCGGCAGGTAACAGACACGTAAACACAGGAAATAGCCATAAGTATTTATTAAGGAAGGGGGAGAAAGAAAGACAGAGAAAAGAGATAAAAGGAGAGAGGAGCGATAAAAGAAGAGAGAGACAGAGAAAACGCGTGCACACGCCAAGGAAGCAGAAAGAGAGAGGGGGTCCCAAGATGGCGATGGGCGGGTCAGAGGTTATGGGAGTGGGTGTGGCTAGGGCAGGGACCCAAGAATAACAATTATCCTCTCTCTCTTTCTCTCTCTTTCACACACACACACACACACAGAGTAAATAAAACCTATTGAGTTTACTGTTTCTCTATGTACACATGCCTAGGGCCGGCCACTTGGAGCTGAATAATCTGTCAGGGGGCTCGTCCTTAAAAAAGACTGATTGTCCCTTTCTTAGAAGCTATTGATTACCCATAGGTGGAATCTAGGTGGAAGGTGGAGGGACGGGAGAGCCTCCAGAAGGCTGCTGACCAGCAGAGACTCAGTCTTAAATAGAGTCAAAAGGAAGAACTGGTGTCTGAAGACTGCTCTGACCTCCACATATACTCTTGTCTTCAGTTCGCCATACACACGCACGAACACACACACACACGCACACATGTACATTCTCTCACACACCTGTAAAGCCATTTAATAATTTTCTCCCCTCGATGCTTACACACAGATGATTCATAAACTGGCAGCTCGAGCGCTGATCAGAGATTATGAGGACGGTATTCTCCATGACAATGAAACCAACCATGAGGTTTGTTCTCCCAGTAAACGCCACGAAGCATTGTTCTATGTCATTCTTAAATTAAGTGGGGGTGGCTGAATAAAGAAGAATGTGATTCCAGGGCAGACATCAACATCTATGATGTCAGTCCTGGGGTGCGGGTGACTGTTTGCTGAATTCAGTAATGAAAGAGTTAATACCAGTGGCTTTCTGAGACTTCTGTGATTTTCTCCCATGAGGAATAGTCTGGAGGGGTGCTCAGGGGATGTCTGTGAGTGCCTGGGATAGCCCTCCTCTCTCCTCTGCTGAGCTGTAGCTCAGCAGCTCAGGGACAGGATGCCTTGGGACACTAGGCAGAGTCACACTCACCTTGCTCCCTCCTTGATGGACAGAGGAGGGTCCTGGCAGAGGGGCCCCGTAGACAGCTACTGTAACAGTCAAGCAGTACTGTTAAGTGAAGTTTGAGCATTGGTGTTCAATGGCGTTCCTAAAAAGATGTCCATACCATGTAGGGACCACTGACCATCACAGGGCTACAGAAAAAGGACTTGTTTCTCCTGGCAGCCCCAAGCAGGGGTTGAAGTGGGACTTAGAAGCACAGAAGCCACAAACATCTGCTGCTGAGTCACGGTTACAGTTTTCCACCAATCAGGAGTCAAAGATTAGGGGCTTTCCTAATTGTTCCTAATTGTTTCCTAAATGTTCCATCATTGTCAATCAACACGGAATGTAAGCCTTTCAGTCCAACCAACCAGATTCATTTGTTCTTTTGGCTGTTGGGTACAGCCATAATGTTTCTAGAGAACTGAAGATGCATAACAACTATGTCAAGGAGGAGGTGGGTCAGCTGTTGGAAGGCCCCTTGCTCTCCTAGTGCCCGGGAACCTGAACTTTGTTTCTCCTCCAAGTAAAGTGGAGTCTGAAGTCGAAATGGCAGTACTCAAGTCAAGGAGCTTTTGCCTGCTCCCTTCAGTGACCGCTTGGATTAGCACTCTCTATGTTCTCTTTGATTTAAGGCCCGTTTATCTCTGAATGCATCTGGCTAGCTTTGCCTTGAATAACCCTAATCAAGTAATGATACCTATACAATTCTTCAGCTATATAGTGGGAGCTTTGAGAGAACGAGGAGACTTGCAACATGCTCAGAAAAGCTGGGGAGGGAGGACTATGTAACTAAGTTTCTTCAGTGACTCAACTGAGTCAACCGTCTCAAGTCACCTCCCTAAGATACTTAGACAGGACCCCTGACTTAGCATCTGATTTGAAGTACTAATTATAAAGGTATTTACATAGGGCAGGAGATATAGCTCAGTTGGTAGAGAATCTACCCAGCTTTCACAAGGCTCTGAATCCACTATCCAGCAATGCACAAACCCAGTCTGATGGTGCACACCTACAATTCCAGCACTGCACAAACCCAGTCTGATGGTGCGCACCTATAATTCCAGCACTGCACAAACCCAGTCTGATGGTGCACACCTAGAATTCCAGCACTGCACAAACCCAGTCTGATGGTGCACACCTAGAATTCCAGCCCTAAACCCAGTCTGATGGTACACACCTAGAATTCCAGCCCTAGACCCAGTCTGATGGTGCACACCTATAATTCCAGCCCTTGGGAAATAGAGGCGGAAAGTTCTGAAGTTCAAAGTCAGCAGCACCAACATAGTTGAGTTCCAGGCCAGCCTAAGATACATGAGATACTGTCTCAAAAGAAATGGATGAGCCAGGAATGTTGGCCTGGTGCACGCCTTTAATCCCAGCACTCAAAGAGGTAGAGGCAGCTGGATCTCTGTGAGTTCAAGACCAGCCTTGTCTTTAGAGCAAGTTCTGGGAGTACATAGTAAAACTGTCTCAAGAAAAGAAAAAAAAAAATTAAGGAACTAAGAAAAGGAAGGGAATGTATATATTAAATGATTTATTTGTCACAGAAAAACACTGAGATTATTTTATGCTTTTTCAATCTCAGCCTACATAAATTAACACAGTTTCATTCTCTCCTAGATGAAGAAAAAAACCATGAAGTCTCTGATTATTGAACTCAGTAAAGAAAATTCTCTAATTACACAATTTACAAGCTTTGTGGCAGTTGAGAAAAGGGTATGTATTATTATTAATTTAGGATTAAACTGGGCTGGAGATATGACTCAGCTAGAACCCAAATCCAGTTTCCAGCACCCACAGACCCACAGATGGCTTGCAATAGCGACTCTAACTCCAAAGAATCTGGCATCCTCTTCTCTCTTCTGGCTTCTGTAGGCACCACACACAATTTAAAAAATTTTTTTTTGTTTCTTTCCTCTTTTTTTTTTTTTTTTTTTTTTTGAGGTAGTGTTTTAATGTGTAGCTCAGGCTGGTCTAGAACTCACCAGACTGGCTGCAAACTCAGAGATCCACTAATACCTATCTCTGCTTCCTGGGTGCTAGGAGTAAAGGTATGTGCCACCACATCCAACCGAAAATACTTTAAAAAGAAATCATTACCTGGGCAGTGGTGGCGCACACCTTTAATCCCAGCACTCGGGAGGCAGAGGCAGGTGGATCTCTGTGAGCTTGAGGCCAGCCTGGTTTACAGAGTAAGTTCCAGGACATTCAATACTGGTATACAGAGAAACCCTGTCTCAAAAAACAAAAACATGAGTGGGCAGTGGTGACACATGACTTTAATCCCAGCTCTTGGGAGGCAGAAGCAGGTGGCTCTCTGTGAGTTTGAGGCCAGCCTGGTTTCCAAAGGGAGTTCCAGGATAGCCAGTTACGTGGAGAAACCCTGTCTTGAAAAAAACAAAACCAAAAAAGTTTTGATTATTTACTAGCACTCTCTATATAAATGTACATTGTTTTGTTTTTCAAGACAGGGTTTCCCAGTAGCTATGGAGCCAGTTCTGGAACTCACTCTGTAGACCAGGCTGTCCTTGAACTCACAGAGACCCCTGTCTCTGCCTCCTAAGTGCTGGGATTAAAGGCATGCGCTGTCGCCACCTGGTGCTGTATGTATATTTTAAGACATCTATGTCTCTAGAAGCCAGGCGGTAGTGGCACATGCCTTTAATCCCAGCACTCAGGTTGATCTCTGAATTGGAGGTCAGCCTGGTCTGCAGAGTGAGTTCCAGAATAGTAAGGACTGCAGAGAGAAACCATGTCTTGAAAAGAAAAAAAAAAATCTATAGTAGTTTGGGGCTAGGATGTGGTGCCACAATGTAGTTAAGCCCCAATACACAAACTTGCACAAAAAAGACATACTGTAATTTTTGTTGTTGTTGTTGTTTTGTTCTTTTGGGGTTTTTTTGGTTTTTCAAGACAGGGTTTCTCTGTGTAACAACCCTATCTATCCTGATACTAGCTCTGTAGACCAGGCTAGCCTTGAACTCACAGAAATCTACCTGCCTATACCTCCAAGTACTGGGATTAAAAGCATGTTCCACCACCGCCCGGCTTTATTTCTTGATTTATTTTTCAGATTGGCCTTTAGGCAAGTCTATGGGGTGTTTTCTTGGTTGATCGATATGGAAAGGCCCTCAATAGCGAGGGGCATATATAATCCAAGTAAATGCCCAGATATTCTAAGATATTCTAAACCTAACATCCATAAGTCTTTAGAATGTGTTAATTATTTAATTCGATATCAAAAATTATTTAGTTTTGATAATATTTCAAAATTTTAATTCCATTGTGATTCTATATAGGACGCTAATGAGATTCCTTTTGATAATGCCCCAAATATTTTGGAACTTGTTGCCAAAGAAGATGTAGACTTTCTGCCATACATGAGTTGGCAGGAAAAGTTCCCAGACCCCTTCGTAACACAGGTAAGTACAGTCACCAAATTCAGTCATCCATTGGTTAACGATGGGGGTGTATTCTGAGAAGTGTGTCAGAAGAGAGTTCATGACTGTGTGAACATCCTAGAGTGAACTCACCCAGGCCCAGCGTTCCAGGACGATTACTGAGTATGTGGCCTCCATTAAATAAAGAAACACAGTAAACAGAAGACATAGGGAGAAAACTGTCAATTCAAACTAACCTTGTTTGAATTAAATAGAAGGCATGCATCCTTCTTGGGGGGCGGAGAGTGAGGATAGCGTCTCTACATAACCCTGCTATCCTGGATGGAACTAGCCATGTAGACCAGGCTGTCCTGGAACTCACAGAAATTGGCCTGCCTCTGTCTCCCAAATGCTGGGATAAAGGTGTGTGACATTACACCAGGCCACAGGAGGAATACACTCTTAAAAGACAGTTTATAAGAGAATCTTGGAGCTGAGTGCAGTACACACAGAGTCCAGGGTCATCCTTAGATACATGGAAAGTTCTAGACCAGCTTGGCATATGTTAGATTCTGTCTCAAAGGAACTAAGAAGATAACCATTTAAATTTTTTTAGACTTATTTTTTATATGTATGGCTTTCTTGCATGTATATGTTTAGGACACTGTGTCCACATCTGTGTGACAGTCAAGTGTGAGTGACCCTTCGTGTACAGGAAAGACTCCCTGAGGTGGAGTGAGCAAGAGAAGCAAGAACATTGTGAGGATAGTTTCCATGGTTTCCACTATTTCTTTAAGAACAGAACATAAATGTATTTGCTTAGCTTGTTTGCCTGCTCTTGCTTTTATTTACTGTATATATTCCCTTTCTGGAGATGCTGGGAATTGAACCCAGCACCTTGCATATGCTAAGCAAATACTGTACTGCCCCTTAACACTGACGTGCATTCACCTCCCAGGAGTCAGTTAGGTGGCGTGGGGTGGGGGAAAGGAATGTTCAAGGACACCTGCTTATCCGTTTGCTTTTTGTTACTTTTGTACCATAGGCAGAGTCTGAGTGTTTGGAACTAGAGCAGGATGACGTCACCAACGGCAGCCAACCACTACAGGTATACCATTAAACAGAACTGTGCATGGTGAATTTCCAGGTTGGTTTTACACTAGTTCTAGCCGGGCAATGGTGGCGCACGCCTTTAATCCCAGCACTCGGGAGGCAGAGGCAGGCGGATCTCTGTGAGTTCGAGACCAGCCTGGTCTACAGAGCTAGTTCCAGGACAGGCTCCAAAGCCACAGAGAAACCCTGTCTCGAAAAACCAAAAAAAAAAAACACTCGTTCTAGGTTGGCTGGCCCCTAGGCCCTTAGATTCCTTCCTCGCCTCTTTAGTTCTGTGTTTACATTTTAATTTCCATTTCATTGAAATTTATCCTGGTGTAAAAGTGTAAAACCAACCTAATCTCCAAAGAACTTGACTTACTGTCTACTCTGCAATAACATTCTAATTATTACTATGTTAGCAAAGTCTTTAATATATGAGAAGTCTGCCAGGCAGTGGTGGCTCATACCTTTAAACCCAGCACTCAAGAGGCAGAGGCAGAGGCAGAGGCAGGCAGATCTCTGTGAGTTCAAGGCCAGCCTGGTCTACAGAGCAAGTTCCAGGACAGGCACCAAAGCTACAGAGAAACCTTGTCTTGAAAAACAAAACACACACACACAACTTCATCTTTTTGTTGTTGTTTGGGTTTTTGTTGTTGTTGTTGTTGTTGTTGTTTTGGTTTTTCAAGGCAGAGTTTCTTTGTGTTGCTTTGTTGCCTGCCCTGGAACTAGCTCTTGTAGACCAGGCTGGCCTCGAACTCACAGAGATCTGCCTGCCTCTGCCTCCTTAGTGCTGGGATTAAAGGAGTGCACCACCACTGCCCAGCTAACTTCATTTTTCTCAATATTCCAGTTTCTCAGCAGGCATGATGGCCCAGGCATATAATCCCTGCTACTGAAGAGGAATATCACAACAAGTTTGTGGCCAGCCTAGGCTACAGAGCAAGTTAAAGGCCAGCCTGGGCAACTTAGTGAGAATGTTCCAAAAAAATAAAACACAATACAAAAAAATTAAAAGCCATACATGGTGGTACAATGCCTTTAATCCTAACACTTGGGAGGCAGAAGCATGCAACTTGCAGAGTTTGGGGCCTTTGTAGTCTACATAGTGAGTTCCAGGCCATCCTGGGCTACACAGTGAGACCCTGTCTTATTCTGTTGTGGTAAAATACCTTGACAAACACAGCTTATGGGAGAGAGGATTTATTTTGGTTCACAGTTCTAGAGGAAACACAGTTCATTGTGGTAGGGAAGGCATGGGGATGGCCTCACATACTGCATTAGCAGTCTGGAAGCTGAAAGAGAATGGGAAATGTCCAGAAACCCTCAAGGCCACCCTAGTGCCACACCACCTCCACCAAGGCTCCACTTCATAAAATCCCATGATCTTCCCAACAGTGCCACAACTGGGGACCATAGGAGTTCAAACACATTATTCTGTGGGAGGCATTTCATGTTCAAACCATAGCACTAGGCATACGAGGTTCATGCCTGTAATCCTAACTCAGGAGATTAAGGCAAGACCAGATAGGCTGACCTATCCAGCTTTATGTCTGCTGTGATTACAACCTTGGCAGGAGACAAATACGCCATGCAGTCAGAGCTTGAGTGTGGAGGTTATTGAGAGAAGGGTAAAAAGGAGGGGAGAGAAGGAAAGGGAGAGGGAAGGAAAGGGGGAAGTAAAGACCTGCTTGCCTCTTCAGAACAACATCCTAAAGAGAGCTGGAGTGGGCGGAGCAGAGACACAGCAGCCATAGAACCATGGGCTGGCCAGGGTGCTGCCTGGGTTCCTTCCGCTAGGTGACAGGGACCAGCATAATGCCTGAATCCTAGCGATGTCAGTCTGGGCTACAGAGTAAGACAGTGTCTCATGGGCCTGCAAGGTGGCTCAACAGGTCAAAGTGCTTGCCGGACCAGCTTGATTTGATCTTCAGAATCCACAGTAGAAAGAGAGACCCAATTCCCAAATGTCCTCCTACTTCCACACATGCACATGGCACTCATATGCACGCACACACACACACACACACACACTAATAACAAATGACACAGAATTTCAAAGGTCTTGTCTCAAAGAGGCTAGAGTTGTAGCTCATCAATAGCAGGCTTCCCTGTGAGAAGTCCTGGGTTCTATTCCTAGAGTCCTAAATAAAATATGAGAATTCCTCCCCCCCTTCTCTTTGTTGTTGTTCTTTGAGATAGCATCTCAGTGTAATCCAGGATGACCAGAAATCCCTATGTAGCACAGGCTGGCCTCAAACTCAAGATCCCCCTGCCTCAGCATCCCAATTGCTGCTATTATAGGGCTGTTACCAGGTGTTTCCAGGTTTAAGAGTTGACAATAAGGACTTATGTAAGATGTGCAATGTGAATAAGATATTTTTATTCACATATTTTAGTTTTAATTATGGATATGTGTGTGCATTTTTCTGCAGGAGCCTGAAACAAACATCAGATACTTTGCAGCCGGTGCTCCATTAGGCAGGTTTGCCTCACCTGAGGTAGGTGCTGGGTCCTCTGGAAGGGCAGCTTCACAGTAGCTTGTGTGTAAATCAGAGCAGTATAGTCAGGCATAGTGGTGCACGCCTTTAATCCCAGCATTTAGGAGGCAGAGACAGGCAGACCTCTGTGAGTTTGAGTCCAGCCTGCTTTGTGTAGCAAGTTCCAGGCTGGTCAGGGCTACAGGGTGAGAGCCTACCTCAAAATAATACAAACAAACAAACAAATAAATAAAACCAAACAGGCAGAGCAGTAGAATAGGTCAGAATACATTTTGCGGGAATAGCAGTTCACATAAGCAAAGATGCTTAAGGGCCCAGATTATTATCTGGGACATCCTTCCAGAGAAAAGGGGATTTGCTATTTCAGGTGGTTTAGGTGGTTCTCTAATCATTTTCCTACTGCACATACCCCTTGTGATTTTAATCATAAACCTAGCCGGCTGTGCACAGACGTAAGCTAGTAAATTGAGGGTTCTCCCTGCGAGTTCACTTTGAGGACACTGTAGGCCTTACCGCTCATACAGCTAAAACCAGTTCAGGCAAGATTAACCTTTCTGGTCTCTTATACAGATACATTAGGAATACGTTGAACAAAAGGTATCTAAATTTGATTGTTGTTAGTGAAGGAGAAACTTTCTGTTACCCAGAAAGGGGTGTGTATAGGCCAATGTAGGTGGGGATGGAAGAGTTCTGAGATGGCTGGGTGCCTTGTTCAGAAAGGACTGCGTGTGTGTGTGTGTGTGTGTGTGTGTGTGTGTACACGTGGGGGGGCCTGTGTGCACACACGTGTGTGTGTGCATGCGGCCCTGTGTGCACACGTGTGTGTCTGCATGTGGGCCTGTGTGCACACGTGTGTGTGTGCGCGTGCGGGCCTGTGTGCACACACACATGTCACATGCAGGTGACAGAACTCAGCTGCCAAGAACATTATTACAAATGAGAGTTGGGGATGTAGGATCCCAGACTACTAACTCACCCTTTCCTCGGGCCAGTACCCATGGCTCTGGTGTTCTTCAAATCTTACAAATGTTTTGCCTTTTACCCTTGGTCTTTGTGTATTAGCTTACTATAAAACTTTTAGCCAGAAGTGGTATAGTGGCTCACACCTGTAATCTCACCTCAGAAGGCTGAAGTAAGAGGATTGACAGGAGTTGACGGCCAACCTGGGTTGTGTCATAAGACCATGCCTCAAAAAAGTAAAAGTAATCCAAATTAGACCAAATCAGACCGAATTAGGAGAAGCCCAGGTTTAATGACCGCCGAGCCCCCTCCCCCACCCCAGGAAAACAGAAACTCGGAGAGGGGAATGGAAAACCAAAAGACCACTGACTCTCCCCGGGGAGGGGTCATCGTTTGGCGGGCGTGGGCTCTGGACTGTGGCCACTCCCAGAGGAGGGGACTTTGACCCCCTGCCAAATATTTCAGACTCTTTGTATATATGGATGTAGGACAGTTGATCAGAAATAAATAGACAGGAAACCAGATAAGCATTATGATGTTTTTATAATGTTTATTTGTCTGTCTGTTTATTGGCATGCTGGGCGAGGGTACAGTGGACTGGATGCATGGAGGTCTGAGGACACCTTGTGCTAACTGGTTCTCTCCTTCTATCATGGGTGTCTCTGAAATTGACACCCATGTCACTTAGCCACAGTGTCTCTGGCTGTCAAGCCATCTCACCAGCCCACATATTGTTTTTTATTTATTTCTTTCTCTTATTGGTGTTTATGAATGAACTCAGATTCATCCATAAATCTAGGGAAATTCCCCACCACTGAGCATTATCCCCACTCCTCTTTCCGTCTTGTTTTTGTTTAAAGTTTTGTAGGTTTGTTTCTTTGTTTTATTTGTTTTGTTTTTTGTTTTTCGAGACAGGGTTTCTTTGTAGCTTTGGAGCCTGTCGTGGAACTAGCTCTTGTAAACCAGGCTGGCCTGCCTCTGCCTCCCAAGTGCTGGGATTAAAGGCCTGCACCACCACTGCCCAGCCTATCCCCAGTCCTCTTGTATTTTTTTTATTTTAATTTTTATTATTTATTTATTTATTTATTTATTTATTTATTTATTTATTTATTTGAGACAGTGTTTCTCTGGGTAGTTCTGGCTGTCCTGGAACTTCATCTGTAGACCAGGCTGGCCTTGAGCTCAGAGATCCACCTGCCTCGGTCTTCCCAGTGCTGGGATAAGAGGTGTGAGCTACCACCGTCTGATTAATTTTTTATTTTGAAATGGTGTCTCACTATTGCCCAGACTGGCCTTGAAATTCAAGATCTTCTTGCCTGCGCCTCTTGAGTGCAAGATTAGAGGTGTGAGCCACTACACCACACCTGGCTAAAAGCCCTTCTCCCTGGACCTACTTACCTGTCAGAGTTGATTTTTGGGTTAGGGATCCCTAACAGCCCAGTCATTCAGCTACTTGGGAGAATGTTTGCTCATTTATTTTGTTCTGCTTTCTCTTCACATGCACAACTTTGTCACCTGGGCAGCCCTTCTCGGTCTCCTCTGAAGGGAAGGAGAAACAGCTACATTTGACTAAAAAACTCAAAAAAAAGCTAAGGAGAAGTTTTCAAGAAGTTTCTGAAGATTTTGAATGCGTGACCCCAGAGCCACAGTCTCCTGCAGCAGCAGAGTCTCTCAAGGTCCACTCACAGTCGGAAGGTGTGGGCCGGCCATCAGGTGTGACTCATCTGGTGTCGCAGAGAAGAGAGGGGGGATTTAAAAGAAGTCTGTTGGCGACTAAAGCAACACGCGGGGCTGCTCCCATGGATTTGTCTGCTCCTGCAGATCTGTTTTCTTTCCTTTCTCCCCGCAGCTCCCAGTCTGCTTCGTTCTCTCCTCCAGGCTACGTTCCCAGAGCTCCTCCTCTTGCTGCCCCTCTCCCTGGTGGCACCCACTTTCCTCTCCCTCCCTCTCTCCCTGGTGCCCCCTGTCTTCCTCCCGCTCCCGCTCCCGCTCCCCCTCCCTCCGGTGTTGCTAGTCTTCCTCCTCCTACCCCTCTCCTTTTTGGCAGCCATTTTCCTCCTCCTCACGGAAAATTCATCCCAGACAACTCACCTGTGTTTGGCCAAAGCCTTAATCCTGTAGGAGGTACCAACATCTTCCATGATTCAGAGTCTCCTCCCGGGCATCTTTTCTCGGGCTTTGGCAGTGTTACTGCTTTCTCAGGTGGTTTCTCCAGTTCAAAGAAAGTTTCCCCAAGGCCCGACGAGGCACCTTATCTAAAGTCTATGGCAGTTCTTCGCTGTCCTCCTCTCTCCAGAGTTCTTTGCTCTGGGCATCCCCGTAGGCCTTCACAAAGTGGCTCTGGGCATCCCCGTAGGCCTTCACAAAGTGCCTCCCTCCCTCGGGGACCTGAGGACAGAATCGCAGATACCAAAATGGATTCAGGTGAATCAGCTTTCCCCTTTGAGTCTCTCTTAAATCGTTCTGCCAGCGCTGCGCCATCAGATGGCTTAGACGGCCTGGGTTTTCAAGACATGGTTTTGCCTGCCTCATTCGAAGCAAAAATGGATGAAGCGGAAATTGAGGAAGCAATAAGATATAAAGCGTGCAAGATAGAGACTTATGCATCAAACGACGCTTGTGCAGAGGAAGATGAGGAATGGACGCTCTGCGAAAGCGCTTCCACGGAAGAAGATGAGGGATATGTGGTCTCTGAAAGCTTTCCTGCACCGTGGACTTCGCTCTTTGCCCTACAAACCGAGGTATTCGTCTTATCTCTTCAGTTAGCTTCACGGCTTACAACAGTGCATTTGAGAGCAGTTGCTCATAGAACAGCGTATTGCCAGTCCTTAGTGGTTCAGGGTGTGTGTCAGCATGGAAGAAAATGTCTCTCAGTGAGTAGTCAGATGAACTAAAACTCTGTGTGATGGTGGATGCTGTTTGTCATTCATCCTTAGCGACTGTTAATATTTGTCAGTTGAAAATTAGCATCCTGGGGGCTGGAGATATGGCTCAGTGATTAAGAGCACTGGCTGTTCTCCTAGAGGACCTGAGTTCAGTTCCCAGCACCCACATGGCAGTTTACAACTGTCTGTAATTCCAGTTCCAGGGGGATCTGACACTTCCACACCAATGCACATAACATAATTTTAAATAAATAAATAAATAAAAGAAGAAAGAAAGAAAATTAGCATCCTTGAAGAGGTCATGGATTTACTCCCTAAGTTCTAGTGTCAGGAATTGAGGTTGACAGAAATTTCCTACTGCCTAGTAAACATAGGTGCAATGAGTATTCTGAATATTTTCCTCTATTAGTGTGTGAACTACTATTACTGTAGTAGCGTGGAGGGCCACAGCTCTCCATTCGTCAAGCCAGTCAATACCCTGTAACTCTAGCTTCAGCACTGGCTCTGAGATCCAGGCTCACGTATGTAATTGTTTTGGTGGGAAAGCATTTAGTGAAGCAAAGAGGACTTCCCTCAGTGTCAGAGTAAATCCTGGCATTACCACGTTGTGTTTGTGGGCTCCAGTTGTCTCAACAGCATAGCAGGAATACTAGCAATATTTACCACACACAGTGGGGGCTTTTAAAAGGCACTTAAGTATATTTTTAAAATTTTTTTTTTTTTTGGTTTTTCGAGACAAAATTTCCCTGTGTAACAGCCTACCTGTCCTGGAACTAGCTCTTGTAGACCAGGCTAGCCTCAAAACTCAGAGATCTGCCTGCCTCTGCCTCCTGAGTGCTGGGATTAAAGGTTTAATAAAAAATAAAAATAATGGAGACCAGCCTGGTCTACAGAGCGAGTTCCAGAACAGGCTCCAAAGCTAGACCGAGAAACCCTGTCTCAAAAAAACAAAACAAAAAATAAAAACAATGAAATGTGGTGGAGGGCTGGCAAGAAGGCTCATTGGGGAAAGTGCTCGCCACACAAACCTGATGGCCTGGGCTTGATCTCTGGAACCTACATAAAGGTAGTTTTATATGTATACCATGTACATGCAGATGCCTGTACAGGACAGAAGGCTTTGGACCCTGGAACTGTATTTACATGTGGTTGTGAACAGCCTGATGCAACTTCTGGGAACTGTACCTGGGTCCTCTGCAAGAACAGTAAATGCTCTTAACCACTGAGCCATCTCTCCAGCTCCAGTTTTAATTTTTTTTTTTTTGAAGCAGAATCTTGCAATATAGGCCAGTCTGACTTGGAACATTCTGTGTGGTCCAGTTAGGCTAGAAGTTAAGACACACCTGCCTCTGCCTGCCAAGTACCTTATTATTGGCATGCAGCTTTGTAATGGTAAAAATAAAACAGTGCTGTTTCCCGAGGGGTGGCAGTGGGTCCCAGGCAGGGAGCTGCTCGATGGGTCAGCCTGTCCCATGAGAAGCCTCGATGGGTGAGAGACAGAGACAGATAGGCATGCTATGCAGAGTGAGGTTGGATATTTATTTAGTGGGTTATGGAAGGGAAGGGGAAAGGGGAGAGAGAGGGAGAAGGTGGGACAAGGAGAAAGTGGCAGAGAGAGAAAGAGAAAGAGAAACAGAGAGGGGAAGGAGAGGAGAAGAGAAGCTACCTCTTCAGGAGAGAGGCAGAAAAGAGAGAGCTCAGGCTGGAGGAGGTAGGATGTCCACTTCCCTCGGCAGAAGGGGAGGGGTTGGGAGAGGGCAGGGCTTGTCTCTTAAAGGGACAGGACAGACCCTTATAATCTTCATTTTCATTTTTTAAATATGTATATATTTTTTTAATTAGGATATTTTTTTTGTTTGTTTGTTTTGGTTTTTCAAGATGGGGTTTCTCTGTGTGACACCCCTAGCTATCCTGGAACTCTGTTTGAGGCTGGCCTCGAACTCACAGAAATCCACCTGCTTCTTCCTCCTGAGTGCAGGGATTAAAGGCATGTGCCACCACTGCCCAGCTGGAAATAGGATCTTATCGTGTATCCCAGGTTGGTCTAGAACCCCCTATGTAGCTCAGGCTGGGCTCAGACTTGCAGCTGTCCTCTCGCTTCAGCGTCCCAAGTGCTGGGTTACAAATACTAGACGCCGTGCTTGACGTATTCTTGGTTTTGTGTTATGGCACTGATATTGAATATGGACATCACACATGTAGGCAAACATTCTGTCCCAGAGCTGTAACCCTAGTCCTTTTCATTTCCTTTTATTTTTGTTATTTGTGTGTGTGGTGTGTGTATATACCCGAGTCTGTGTGTGCAAGTGTTCTTGCGGATGTGAATATAACTGTGTACACGTGCACATAGCGGCCAGAGGTCAATGGTGAATGTCTTCCTCAATTGCTTTCCACTTTTTTTTTTTTTTTGGTTTTTCGAGACAGGGCTTCTCTGTGGCTTTGGAGCCTGTCCTGGAACTAGCTCTGTAGACCAGGCTGGTCTCGAACTCACAGAGATTTGCCTGTCTCGGCCTCCTGAGTGCTGGGATTAAAGGCATGCGCCACTGCCGCCCGGCTCAGATACAGGTTTAAGCCAACTGAAAGTCTTTATTAGCTGGTTGGCAGCTATACTGAGGGTTCAAGCTCAGTTTAACATCACTCCTTTCTCAGAGTGAGTTTTTAGGAAAAAAAAACAAACAAACATATGTCTGGTTGAAACATTTCAGTTAACAAGGACAGTTAGCTAGAAGCAGAACTACAGAAGCCAAAAAACAAGGTTGGTACATTAGAGACTTTCCCAGAATTATGGACTTTGATAGATTTGGCCTTTGTTTTGGTTTTGGAAGGTGATGCTGTCTAAATGCTGAGTTTGACAGCCTGATGGTAATTCCATCATGGAGTCAGTTGTGCTAAGGCCTGGGCCCTGGTACACTTGGTCTGATGGTATATATTTAATACTGAAAAGGGAATTATGCTAGAAAAATACTGTATGACATAGAATCTACGATTATCAATATAATTTTTTTTCTTAATTTTACAGGATGGTTTCTGGAAACTGACACCATCACTAGGATTTATACTAAAACTTAATGTAAATATTCTACACAATTTTCTTGAAGAAAAAGGCATTCGATCTCTAGGTAAGCCACTGTTTCTCAATTAATTAAGTCACTGTGTTCCTTCACTTTTCCACTCGCTTATAGGCAAACTCCTAATTGTAATAAATTATTTTGTAAACTAGTGCGTTCATTTAATAGTTTTGTAAGTTCCATATGAATAGAATTAATTGTTTTTTTGACACAGGGTCTCACTATGTAGCCCTGACTAGCCTGGAACTCTCTGTGTAGACCAGGCTGGCTTTGAACTCTCGGAGATCTGCTTGTCTCTGCTTCCCAAGTGCTGGAATCAAAGATGTGTGCCACCATGCTCAGTTACTAGAATCAGATTTATTCACAGTCATGACTTTACCAATGATGGGAGTATTTTATTAGCAGTTTGATTAGAGTGTGTGGCACCAACTACTGCAGAAGAACAACCCCAAATCTGGGAATAGTGACACACACCTGTAATCCTGCCGTTTGGTAGCCTAGCCAGGTGGAGCGTGAGTTTGAGAACAGTTGGGCTACATAATGAGACCATGCCAGTGATAACACTATTCAGTGCTCAATAGTACCACAAGGACATATGCTCAACTATGTTTATAGCAGCATCCTTTGTCATAGCCAGAACCTGGAAACAATCTAGATGCCCCTCGATCGAAGAATGGATAAAGAAAATGTGGTACATTTACACAATGGAGTATTATATAGTAGAAAAAAATGACAGCTTGGATTTTGCAGGCAAAAGGATGGAGCTAGAAAACATCATATTGAGTGAGATAACCCAGACCCAGAAAGACAAATATAATATGTACTCACTCAAAAGTGGCTTTTAGAATAAAGCAAAGAAAAACCAGCCTACAGTTCACAATCCCAGAGAACCTAGACAACAAAGAGAACTCTAAGACTACAAGGATCCAATCTACATGGGAAGTAGAAAAAGACAAGATCTCCTGAGTAAATTGGGACTGTGGGGATCATGGAAGAGGGTAGAAGGGGAGTGGGGAGGAAGGGAGGGAAGCAGAGAAAATACATAGTTCAATAAAAACAATAAAAAAAACACTATCCAAAAGCTCAGTTTAACACACTCAATAATTACGTTCTTGGCCACAACATAAGTACCTATTGGTCAACAGGGACATTCTCTTCCACATTGAGACCTTGGCACTTTCCAGATGTGGCTCTCCCATCACATGGAAAAATAAATCAAAACTACACTGACATTTTTTTTTTTTTACTTCACTCCATCAGAAACAATGGCTAGAGAGATGGTTCAAGAGTTAAAAGCACAAACCGCTCTTGGTTCCCAGCACCCTTGTCAGCTGGCTAGCAACTACCTTTTTTTTTCTTTTTTTTTTTTTAAATATAATTTTTTATTGAAAAAAAAAGATTTCTGCCTCCTCCCCTCCTCCCATTTCCCTCCCCGTCTCCCTTTTCCCCCCTCCTCCCTCTCCTCTCCCCCTCCCCCCACTCCTCTTCCTCTCCCTCTCCAGTCTGAGGGGCAGTCAGGGTTCCCTGCCCTGTGTAAAGTCCAAAGTCCTCCCCGCTCCATCCTGGTCTAGGAAGGTGGACATCCAAACTGGCTAGGCTCCCCCAAAGCCAGAACATGAAGTAGGATCAAAACCCAGTGGCATTGTCCTTGGCTTCTCAGCAGCCCTCATTGTCCGCCATATTCAGAGAGTCCGGTTTTATCCCATGCTTTTTCAGTCGCAGTCCAGCTGGCCTTGGTGAGCTCCCAATAGATCAGCCCCACTGTCTCCGTGGGTGGGTGCACCCCTCGTGGTCCTGACTTCTTTGCTCATATTTTCCCTCCTTCTGCTCCTCCTTGGGACATTGGGAGCTCAGTCCGGTGCTCCAGTGTGGGTCTCTGTCTCTATCTCCATCCATCTCCAGATGAAGGTTCTATGGTGATATGCAAGATATTCATCAGTATGGCTATAGGATAGGGTCATTTCAGATTCTCTGTCCTCAGCTGCCCCAGGAACTAACTGGGGACATCGCCCTGGGCACCTGGGAGCACCAAATCTCTTGCCAACCCTAAGATGGCTCCCTTAATTAAGATGTGTGCTTCCCTGCTCCCCTATCCGACCTTCCTTTATCCCAAACATCCCGTTTCCCAAGTTCCCCCCAACCTCCCCTTCTCACTTTTCTCTCCCCATCTCCCCTTACCTCCCTCTCCCCCCTCCCCCAAGATCCCATTTTTTGCCTGGCAATCTTGTCTACTTCCCATAATCAGGAGGATAGCTATATGTTTTTCTTTGGGATCACCTTCTTATTTAGCTTCTTTAGGAAATCAAATTATAGACTCACTGACCTTTATTTATCTCTAGAAACCAATTATGAGTGAGTACATCCCATGTTCATCTTTTTGGGTCTGGGTTACCTCACTCAGGATAGTGTGTTCTATTTCCATCCATTTGCATGCAAAATTCGAGAAGTCATTGTTTTTTACCGCTGAGTAGTATTCTAATGTATATATATTCCACACTTTCTTCATCCATTCTTCCATTGAAGGACATCTAGGTTGTTTCCAGGTTCTGGCTATTACAAATAATGCTGCTATGAACACAGTTGAACAAATGCCCCTGTCATATGATCGGGCATCTCTTGGGTATATTCCCAAGAGTGGCATGCTAGCAACTACCTTTAACTCCAGTTCTTTATTTCATTGTTTAGGGTTTTGAAACAGGCTCTCCATTGTAGTCCTGGCTACCCTGGAATTCACTCTATAAGCCAGGCTGGCCTCAAACTCACAGAGGTCCACCCGAGTGCTGGGTTAAAGGTGTGTGCCACCATTTCTGACTCTAACTCTAGTTCTAAGGGATCCAGCATCCTCTTCTGGCCTCTGAGGGCACCAGCGTTCATATGCATGAACCCGCACACATATATACACATGATTTAAATAAATATTTTTAAAGGAAAAAAGAAAACAACAAATACTGAGGATGGAAGCAGGCCAAACCTTCATATTCTGTTGGTGAATCACTGTCAAAATCAATATGATGGTTCCTCAAAAACCTTAAAGTGCAATTACTATATAATCCAGTTATACCACTCCTGGACATAAGTCGGCATATCACAGAGACACTTTCCTGCCCTTGTTTATTGTGGCACAGTTCATAATCTCTGAGATATGAAACTAATCTAGATGCCCATCAACATAGGAGGAAGGAAAATTCAGTCGGGCAGTGTTGTCGCACACCTTTAGTCCCAGCACTTGGGAGGCAGAGGCAGGAGGATCTGAATTTGAACCCAGACTAGTCTACAGAGTGAGTTCCAGGATAGCCAAGACTACACAGAGAAACCCTGTCACAAAAAAATCAAAAAAAAGGAAAAAGAAAATTTGAAACTATCCACAGTGAAATTTTATTCAGAGATAAAAAGGAATGAACTAGGCATGGTGGCTCATGCCTGTATCCCAGCACTTGGGGAGGTTGAGGCAGGAGGATTGCCATGAGTTAGAGACAGCCTGAGCTGCAGAATAAGACCCTATTAAAGCAAGGAAGAGGTGGCCCAGCAGTTAGAAGCACTAGCTGCTGTTGCCGAGGACCTGGGTTTTTTCCCAGCAGCCAAACAGCATCTCACACCTGTTTGTAACTCCAGCTCCAGGGGAATAACCTCTTCTGGCCTCCAGAAACATTTCACACATGTAACACACATATATACATGCAGGCAAAATATTCATACACATAAAATAGAAATAAGTAAATCTTTAAAAGGCAACAGTAGTATATAGATTGTGACATACCTCCCGCTGTTCCCCGATAAAGCCCTAAAGACCACACAGGAGTAGCCCTTATCAGCTTTCCTTCTTTGTTGTTTCTGTTTTGATTTTCTCATTGGTTTTTCTTGCGTCGTTTCCCAGGATACTAAAAATATGCTTTACCCATCACTGTGGTTTGTTGAGTCTCACAGCCAAACCAGACTCCAAGAATGAGTCTGCCTCTGTGGTGCAGCTTAAGATAATCAAATGGATTCTATATAGGTAAAGTCACACTTGCTCTGTGCTGTAACGACACTTCTCCTTCTGACCCAAGCTGGGGAAATCCAGCAATGAATTACAGTCTCTGCAGTCTTGGACCTGTCTGCCTTTCTTTGGTTTCATGTACCTTGAGGCCAGTCCTCATACACTGCGACTGAGAAGGTCTGGGTCACCTTAGTTACATGTGTGCACACACTTGTGTGTGTTTATGTATGTATATAGGGGTTTTGTTAAAGATTTTAAAGATTTTTTTTTGAGCTAGAGTCTTATTATATTACCAGGCTGGCTACTTAGAATCTACTACTGAAGCCTCCTACATGTAGGGATTATAGATGTGCACCACCACAATTGACTAAATCTAATTTTGTTTTGGTTTGTTTCTTTTAAAGTACTGGAGATTGAACCTAGGGTCTCATCTAGGGCAGCCAACCTCTACCACTTAAGTTGTAAATGAGCCCTAAAATGAGATGAGTTTGCATTTTCATTTTGTTTTGATTTTGTTTTTCCGAGACAGGGTTTTTCTGCAGCTTTGGATCCTGTCTTGGAACTAGCTCTTGTGGACCAGGCTGGCCTCGAACTCACAGAGATCCATCTGCCTCTGCCTCCCGAGTGCTGGGATTAAAGATGTGCACCACCACTACCGCTCTGGCAAAATGAGTATTCTTTTTAATATTTATTTAACTTTATTTGGTATGAATGTGTTAGATTCCTTGGAATTGGAGTTACAGACAGTTGTAAGCTGCCATATGGGTACTAGGAATTGAATCTGGGTCCTCTGAGAGAGCAGCCAGTGCTCTTAACCCCTGATCCATCTCTCCAGCCCCCAAATGAGTATTCTTTAATGAGTGTTCTGAAAGTGATTTTCAAAATGTAACACATGGGCTGGCAAGATGGCTCAATGGCTAACGGGGCTTCATGCTCAAGCGTGGCATGCTTCCTGGAGCCTGTGCAATACAGGCGGAAGGAACTGACTCCATAAAAGTTGACCTCTGACCTCCACATGCACACAGTGCCATACATGTGACCCTCCCCACGCACTGCATATACACAATTAAAAAATAAGTGAATGGACAGGGGGTGGAGAACTGCAGTGGAACGTAAAATGAAGTTAAAATTAAAATAAAAACAAGTAAACAGAGCTGGAGAGATGGGTCTCCAGTTAGGAGTATTAAGAGTGTTTACTACTCTTACAATAAGTTTAGGTCCCTGAGTTCAGTTCCCAGCATCCACATGGTGGCACACAACTGCTTGTATCCCCTGCTCAGGGACCAGTACCACCTAAGCCTAATTTTATTTTATTTTTTATTTATTTATTTATTTATTTTTTTGCCAGGCGGCCCTGTTTGAAAGGTGCTGTTTAGTGGGAACAGTCTAAGTGTATGTTCCAGCTAATTGGCATTATGATCATTTACAGTTGGAACAATCTTTTTTCTCTTTCTCAAATCTTTTTTTAATTGATATTTATTGAGCACTACATTTTTCTCTGTTCCCCTCCCTGCCTCTCCCCTCCCTCCTTCAATCCTCCCCCAAGGTCCCCATGCTCCCAATTTACTCGGGAGATCTTGTCTTTTTATACTTTCTACTTCTCATGTAGATTAGATCTATGTAAGTCTCTCTTAGTGTCCGCATTGTTATCTAACTTCTCTGGGATTGTGGTTTATAGGTGGTTAAAAAACACCTATGAGTGAGTATATGTGATAATTGTCTTTCTGTGTCTGGGTTACCACACTCAAAATAATGTTTTCTAGCTCCATACATTTTCCTGCAAAATTCAAGCTGTTGTTATTTTTTTCTGCTGTGTAGTACTCCATTGTGTAAATGTACCACATTTTCCTTATCCATTCTTCGATCAAGGGGCATTTATGTTGTTTCCGGGTTCTGGCTATGGCAAACAAAGCTGCTATGAACATAGTTGAGCACATGTCCTTGTGGCACGATTGAGCATCCTTTGGATATATACCCAAAAGTGGTATTACTGGGTCTTGAGGAAGGTTGTTTCCTAATTTTCTGAGAAATCACCACACTGACATCCAAAGGAGTTGTACCAGCTTGCATTCCCACCAGCAGTGCAGCGCCACCTGAGGCTCAAGTGCTCAAACACATGAGTGAGCCTGGGGGGACATTTCTCAGAACACCACGTGAAGTAAAGGAGATCTTTGCTTTTTTAGGTACAAAAGGAAGAGACTGTCTCCTGGACCTAATTGCCACCTTGCTGGTACTGCAGTTTCTTCGTACCAGGTTGGAACAAGAAGGGATGGTTGCCAAATCACTGATGAAGATGGATGACACCTTCATCTCCAGGTGCTTTAATGTCCTAATAAGAAACTTTTCAAAGAGCCACAGTACCATTGTCGGCCTGTTCCAAACAACTGTGTGGGCTGGCACACGAATACAGATGGGAGCCACGTGTCCTAGGTCTAAATATTTAGAAGTCATGAAGCCAATCTGGGAATGTAGCTCAGTGGTAGAGCTCTTGCCTCGTGCACAGGGACCTGGGCTCAGTTCTGCTGTCCTGAGCAACTCAACACATACTGTATGTCAAAGTACCAACCAGGTCATGGTGGCACATTCCTGTAATCTTACCACTGAAGAGGTTACAGATGGAAATCCTGACTTACAGCCTAGCCTAGGCTACACAGTAGGACCCTGTTCCAAAACAGAAAAACAGAAGAAAAAAAACCTTATCAAACTATTAAATAAAATACATTAGCTTGGGAGACAGAGGCAGGCGGATCTCTGTGAGTTCGAATCCAGTCTGGCCTACAACAGCTAGTTCCAGGAGAGGCTCCAAAGCTACAGAGAAACCCTGTCTCAAACCCTGTCTCAAAAAAAAAAAAAAAAAAAAAGAAAGAAAGAAAAGAAAAGAAAAAGATAAAATACATTAGAGTATTCTGCCCGGCATAGTGGTGCACTCCTTTAATTTCAGCACTGAGGAGGCAGAGACAGATGAGTCTCTGTGAATTCGAGGCCAACCTGGTCTACATGGCAAGTTCCTGTCAGCCAGAACTACATAACAAAGAGACTCTGTCTCAACAAAACAAAAGAAGAATCTTTTATCTTTAGTAGGCTTTCTGACCCCATGATATTTAGTTTCTCCACTGACGCAGTAAACCAGGTCAAGCAGAATTGAAAAAGTGTAACAGCAGGTTCATTGAGAGCAACTCTCGGGAAGGTTCACTGGTCCAAGAGGTTGAAGCCAGAGAAGTCATGCACCTGGACTAAGGCAGGGAGATTTTATAGATGGTAGGTAAGGGGTGAATCTAGATCTGTGCCCAAGTGTGGTCAAAAGCTGAGCCCTTTGGTGGGCACTTGAGCGGCTGGTGGCATAGAAGGCAGGGAGCTACGGTAGTCATCAAGAACTGGACTTTTGTCGCCTTTCCTTTGTTAGATTCTCAAATGGGTGGGGTTTGGAGAGACATACTGGAATAGGGTGAGCTGGGCTTCCTGGACCCTTCATGGGTGAGGCAGAAGCTTCAGCTGGACAAATGAAATCCCATCATCACCTGGATAAGCAGGCTCAAATTAGCTTTGGTTGCCTCCTGAGTAAAAGCTGTACAACATCTCACAGCCACGTGAGACAGGAACCCAGATCCACACTATACATCCCACAGCCACGTGAGACACAAACCCAGCTCCACGCTGTACAACATCTCACAGCCACGTGAAACAGGAACCCAGCTTCTCACCCCACATCGCATATCATAATGGCCCTTTCCCCAAAGAAATAATCAGGAAGATGATAAGAATAAATCTGTTAGTTCCCCAGAGAACTAACAGATTTATTTTTAGGTGCATGTGTGTAGGAGTGTGCGACATACAATACATGTGGAATCTGAGGACAGCTTTGGGACTGAATTCAGGCCATTAGACTTGTCAATAAGTACCTTTACCTGATGAGCCATCTCACTAGCTCCAATAAATTTGTTTCTTCAAGACAGGGTCTCACTCTGTAGACCAGGCAGACCCTGATTTTCACAGAGATCCGCCTACCTCTGCCTCCCAAGTGCTGGGATTAAAGGTGTGTGCCACTATGTCAACTATGTGGGGGGAGGTTGTTTTTGTTTTTACAAGACAGGGTTTCTCTGTAGCTTTGGAGCCTGTCCTGGAACTAGCTCCATAGACCAGGCTGGCCTTGAACTCACAGAGACCCACTTGCCTCTGCCTCCTGAGTGCTGGGATTAAAGGTATGCACCACTATACCAACTATGATTTTTTTTTAAGAAGGAAGTCTCATGTATCTCAAATTGGTCTTGAGCTCACTGTGTAGCTGAGGATGACCTTACCCTTCTAACCTTCCTGTCTCTACTGTGTCCACTGAGCCACACCCAAATAGAATCTTTCTTATTTTTGTTGTAAGGTAGGTTCGATGGCTCAGTGAGTAAAAGTGCTTGCTGTGTCAGCCTGAGGACCTGAGTTCAATCCCCAGTATCCACATGGTGGAAGGAGAGAACTGTCTGTCCATACTCAAGCCGTGGCCATGTGTGCACTTGCATTTTATTGCATTTCTAACATACACACACACACACACACACCGACCTGCCCAGTGGCCAGCAAGGCCAAATCTCTGAGGATTGAAGGATATTCCAAGACCTGTGTAGGGTACCAGGCATTTGGATTCAAAGGTAATGTAATAAACAAGTTGGACGATGGTGGCACACACCTTTAATCCCAGCACTCAGGAGACCAAGGCAGGTAGCTCTCTGTGAGTTCGAGGCCAGCCTGATCTTCAGCGTGAGTTCCAGGACTGCCAGGGCTACACAAAGAACCCCTGAAGAAAAAAAAAATTCAAAACCAAAAACGAAGAAGGAGAAAAGAAGAAGAAGAAAGAGTAATCCAAACAAAACACTTCTCGTTTTTATCTCATTTTTATTATTAAAGCTAACAAAACGTGGTAATGTTTGCAGTTAGTTTGAGCAAATACATCAGTGAATGTGTCTGGTGTGCTGTCTCATCACCTTTGGTCAAGTGTAAAGAGCCAAGACTATTCCTCCCAGGCCTTCGGCTTTCTCGGAGAGATCATGTGGACACGTAGGACATTCTTTTCATGTCCTTGCTTTTTTTTTTTTTTTTTGTGTGTGGTTTTTTGAGACAGGGTTTCTTTCCTGGAACTAGCTCTTGTAGACCAGGCTGGCCTCGAACACACTTTCAAGAAGGTGCCTGTCTTAGCTAGGTTCACTGTTGCTGTGATGAAACACCATGACCGAAGCCACTTGGGGAGGAAAGATTTATTTGGCTTACATTTCCACATCACAGTTCCACAGAGGAGGAGGTCGGGGCAGGAACTCAAGCAGGGCAGGAACCTGTGGCTCACAGCCATCTGCAATAAGGTCTGGTGCCCTCTTCTGGCCTTCGGCATACACACAGATAGACTATTGTATACATAATAAATAAATATTAAAAAAAAAAAAAACCAGGGCCACCAGCCCAGGGATGGCCACGCCCACAATGGGCTGGGCATCACTCGTTTTAAAAATACCCTACAGGCTTGCCTACACCTTGATCTTAAGGGGGCATTTTTAAAATTACCGTCCCCTCCTCTCAGAGATGACTTTAGCTTATGTCAAGTTGACGTAAAACTATTCAGCCCAGCCGCTTTGTGGGAAGAGCTTTCTGCATGTTGCCCAATTCATTCACGTTTCTTACACAGGCTTTCCCACACCACCACACACAATAGTAAGTTAACACTGTAAACTTTGGTGTAAGGGCTGGGGACGTAGCTCTGTACAGATGACTCTCAGGTGTTCTTCAAGTATCTGGAACAAGTTGAAAATTACCAGACAGTGAATGAACATTGAAACAGGGGCCTCAGGGACACTGAAAAGGAACAGGAAACAAAGAGGCAAGAAAAAGCTGCAGCTGTCCTGAGGGATTAAGGGGGCTGTGCCCACAGTGAGAGCTGGGAAGAGAGGCAGGCAAGTCATGTAGAAATGAGAACTTGATGCAGATTTCAAGAATTGCCTTTATTAAATATCTTCATTTTTGACAACCATTTCATCCAATACAGTGTTACAGATTTGGAACCACATTGCCTTTCACATATTCTGAACCAATAGAAACTTTTTTCTTTTTTTTTACTCTAGGACTATTCCATGGGCTCTTGAGAACATAAAGAAAGCAAGTGAATGGGTCAGAAAGACAGAAGGCCAGTATCCATCCATCTGCCAACGGCTTGAGCTGGGTAAAGACTGGGAGTCCGCCACGAAGCAACTGCTGGGGATGCAGCCCCACACCAACAGCTCTCTCTACCGACTTCTGCATTGCAATCAGGGCTGAATTCAATGAAATTTCATTTTAAACATTTCTCATATATCTTTTTGTTGTTATTTTTTTTTCTTTTTTTTTTTCTTTTTTTTTTTGGTATTTTAAGGTAGGGTTTCTCTGTGTGGCCCTTGCTGTCCTAGAACTCACCCAGGCTGGCCTCGAACTCACAGAATTCTGATTTCCTTTGTCTTCCAAGTGCTGGGATTAAAGGCGTGGTGCACCACCACCTGACTGCCTGTTCATATTTCTGTGTAGAAAATAATCAAATAGTAAAAGGTACTGATAATGACATGTATTAGTAGTTTGGGGTTTTTTGTTTTGTTTTGGCTTTGTCTTTCAATGTAGCTATCAACCACTTTTAAATAAAATAAATGGAAACAGGATTGATGAATCATTTAACAACAATAAAAAACTGTAATGTTAGAGACTGTCTCAATGTCCTGGTGGGGTGGGTGCTCATTGCATCTTCCCTCCAGGAGTCCAGCAGAAGGCTGACTTATCAAGCAGTAAGGAAGGAGCTGGCCTTTGGTTTGGTCTTGCGTTCTAGGCCAGTGCATGTTTCTGGGGCCCTGGCCACCAAACAGCACAGCACGAAGGTGCACTTGTTTCCTCTGTGGCTGTCCTGTCTGCAGATGTCGTGCTCCTTCTTCCATGGGTCATGTTTTATTGCCACATCCTAGAAACCCAAAGGTCATCTTAAAATCTCTGCTATTTCACCTTCTGGATTTTTTCTAGGTCTTGAATTTTACTTTAGGATTATGATCCACATTAAGTTACGTTTTTATTGTTACATTTGGTTTGACTATGAAATGTCCACATAGGCTTGTTAATCCCACTGGCCAAGAATAAGATCACTGCTGTTGTGCCCAGAGCACGCCCCCCACCCCCAGAGGGAGACCACCAGAAAGCAGAGTGGACCAGACTGCAAAATACAAGGTTAACTCTTTTATTGCAAGTACAAGCAAGTACAGGCAATTTCTGGCTGGCCAGGAACTTCCTCTTCACTACCCTGAAACGACAAGGTAGAGAGAGAAGTTAAAAATTTCTTTGCAGGGTTAGTTTTTAAAAGGTGCAATCTACAAAGAGGCTTTTTTTGAAGTGGCTTTTGGCATGGTGCAAGGCCTTCTGCCCCCTCCTATTCTGGTAAGTCAGCTTTCTCCTTTTTCTTCTTGTTTTACTTGTTGTTACCAGGTGGCTGGCTGGCTAAGTGACCTTGTGCTTGGAATCTCCCTGGTGGGAGGGAGAAAGGAAGGCACTGCTAATCTGTGTTTTTAATTTTAAAACATTTTGCTAGGAAATTCTTGTCCCTTTGAAAATAAGGGGTGAGGGTCTCTCAACACAATACTGGCCAGGTGGATGGGCTCTGGCCATGTCCACATCCAGGTTCCCTGGAAACGTCCCATAATCAAATATGGCAAGGAATTAAAAAGGAAGACCCATTAACTCGTTGCATTTTCCATCAGGTCCAATGGGGGCAAGCATACATCCTGACATATTTCCTGCCTATGTGATCAAGCACATCCAGTTTAGTTAGGTCAAACAAACTTATTTAGGGGAGTGAAAACATGTTCTGTTATTTCCCATAAGCAACAGCCTCCAGCATGTCAGGAACTATCTGTTGTAACATGCGGGGGCCGGCTTATTGGGGTTTCTGTCCCACCTGATACCCACAGCCGGCAAGCCCCAAAGAAAATCACACAGAGATCTCCATAAGTTATAAAACTGATTGGCCCATTAACTCAGGCTTCTTATTAACCCTTGTAGCTTATATTAACCCATTATTCTTATCTATGCTAGCCACATGGTTTGATACCTTTCACAGCGGGACAGGTCACATGTTGCCTCTTTGGTGGTCTGGGCTGGACTGGGAGGATTGGGCTTCCTCTTTCCTAGCATTCTCCTGTTCTCATTGCCCCGCCTCTACTTCCTGTCTGGTTGACCCACCTATACTTCCTGCCTGGCCAATCAGCATTTATTTAAAACATGATTGACAGAATACAGTCAATTCTCCCACACCAATCTGTCCTTAGGAAAGGGGCTGGCAGATCAGAGGCATTTTTGTTTCATGGATCTTTAGGCATAGTAATTAGAACTTAAATTGTAACTGGCTTGCATATTGGGAGCTTGGTTGTCAACAGGTGAGCCTTTGGGAAGTGATAGCATTATGGAGCAATCCCCCTATGATGCCCTTGTCAGAAAAGAAGCAAGAGTAAGAGGTAGGGCCTGGTTGAAAGAAAACTGATGGAGTTGTACCTTTGAAGGATGTTTCATCTCTCGTTCTTGCTTTCACTCTATGCTTCCTGTCTGTCATGAGGTAAAGCCGCTTTCCTCTGCCACATACGTTCGGCCATAATGTTCTGCCTTACCATGGACCCAGAATCAGAGGAGCCAACTGACCACAGACTGAAAAATATTTGGCCTCCCTGTCTCACACAGGGTGACAAGGAGAGAGGTTACCAAGGCATAGCGTTTCTCAGCTTTGTCTCTGAAGTATGGTAATATTTTACATCATAAAGAACAAAATTTTAAATTAAGTGCAAAGTAAACCATCACTTAAAATAGAAAGAAAGCAGGGACAAATATGAGCATTAAAGTCAGGCAATGGTGGTGCACCATTTATTCCCAAAGGCAGGCAGATCTCTGTAAGTTCGAGGCCAGTGTCAAGGTGATGGCTGAACCACCATGTAAGAATCATTTAAGTGCTTGAAACACAGAAGTTTGGCTCTCTCTTTCTAGATGGAAAGGGCTTAAAAGGTGTAAGAATTACAAAAGAGAAATTACTATAAATAATTGGAAACATCTTAAACAATGGGCCAAAAATAAAATAAAACCTTTTTTTTTTTAAGATTTATTTATTGTATATACAATGTTCTGTCTGCATGTGTGCCTACATGCCAGAAGAGGGCACCAGATCTCATTACAGATGGTTGTGAGCCACCATGTGGTTGCTGGGAATTGAACTCAGGACCTCTGGAAGGAAAGTCTGCTCTTAACCTCTGAGCCATCTCTCCAGCCCCAAAATAAAATCTTTTTGTTTTCAATAGTTTCTCTAAGGTATTGTCATAGCCAGGGAAAAGTTAACACTTCCACTCCCGGCATTCCTCGGGTAGCCCTTTGTGTAAAGCCCCTGTATAAACACTTTTTTAAAAAATCCAGTCCTGTGGTCTTCAGACTTCTTGTTCTCTTCATCAGTATTTACCTGAAGTCCAGACTGCCTCCCATTCATGCAGTTCAGGATGTCCTTTCCCACCGCAACCCTGGCCTCCTTTTCCAGTGATTTCTACTGTACTAGCCAGGAGGGGACTCCCTTTTGGTGAGAATCTAAGAACAAAACTGCAAGAACAATTATGCAAATGAGGGGAAGTGGGAAGTCCCCCAAGCTAGGCAAGCTGTCGTTTATTTGGACAGTGGAGAGATATTCAAGGGGTGGAGCCATCAGGACTCAGGTGCAATAGGAGCATGCTGTGGAAACTTGTCTTTGGCCCGCTCTTCCCTGGCTGAAGATTTGAGTATGGATGAATGGATCGATGAATGGATAAGAGCACTCACCATGGAAGACTTGTACTTGTGTTCAATCTCCAGAATCCACATGAAGATGGAACGAATATCATGGAATACACACAATAATAATAATGATGATGATGATGATGATGATGATGATGATGATGATGATGATGATGGCTGGAGAGATGGCTCAGTGGTTAAGAGCATTGCCTACTCTTCCAAAGGTCCTAAGTTCAATTCCCGGCAACCACATGGTGGCTCACAACCATCTGGAATGAGGTCTGGTGCTGTTACGAGCTGGGGGACTTCAGCTCCAGGTTCTTTTCGAGTAATATCTATGAGGATTCTGTGCCCTTCTCCCCAGAGAGTGATGAGTAACCAGACCAAGCAAGAGAATTGATTTTATGATGATTCTTTACTAGCAACTTCAATATCCAATGCATCAATGGGGGTTACAATCTCAGTAGGCATGGGGGATTGATAATGGGCAACACACAGGCAATTCAATATCACAATTATTAATCCTACTAAACCTAATACATAAAACCAATTCATAACCTTAATCTAATTTATCTTAACCTTAATACAACTCAGCCGTTACTTATCTATAACCTTAATACAAGTTATCCATTAATTATCTATAACCTTAATACAACTTATCCATTAATTATCTATAAAACACTCCTTAACCTTAGCTTATCCATTATTTCCTACTCTGATCAATTATCCATAAAATATCTCTTAACATTTCACACATTAACATATGTATTAACACATCTATGCTCTTCTCTTAACATCTTATACACACATGAAATAGCATCATACGACCTGATATTCCCTGACTTAAAAAGGGCTTTTTTGAATTTTTTCAGGCTGGGCTCTTGTCCGCACTGGGGGCTGGGTAGCGAAGATTGACTCTTGACCCTGTAGTCTGCACTCGGGAGATAAGGTCCTGATGTTCCAGGCTGGTATCTGGTAGTGCCTTGGACTCGGCTTTTGGGCGACCGAGTCTCGGGAGACAAGGCTTTTAGTTCTCCACTCTCGAAGATGAAGCTTTGCTCTCGGGATGGCAAAGCGTTCTGTCTGCTCAGAAAACAAAGCTTTGCTTTCGGGATGGCAAAGCATTCTGAAAGGCAGAGTATCTAGTCTGTTCTCGGGAGACAGACCTTCAATGTCCACTCTCATGGAATGAGGATTTGCATTCGGGATGCAAGGTGTTAAATGTCTGTTTTCGGGAGACAAAACTCTGTGCTCGGGAGACAGAGCATTAAATGTTTAGGCAAGGCATTCAGTATTGCTGCTTTTCGGGAGGCAGGCTAGGAGGATCTCTCTTTCCACGGAGGCCTGGTGCCAGAGCCATTGTGAGAAGTGAGATAACTGCCCTGCTTCAGCCACCTCTTTTATGCCAGTTCAAAATTGCCCCTCGTTTGATCCTTCCGATAACCAGGTGTCCTAGGTTATCAGTATCGACTGGCCACAGAAGGGTGGGGGAACCTCTTGTGTGGCAAGATTATTTCGTTACCACGGTTGCTGGGTGCAGCCCCCCACATCTGGCAGGGCCAGATGGGTGTGGCAGCCTTCAAACGGGCAAATGATCTCCCAATATTTCACCTTAGTAATTTTCCATACCCCACACAAGAAGAAATGCTTTTACATTACACCAAGTTACATTCATTCTTATTCTATAAATTTCCTGCTCTATCTACACTACAGATTCCCCTTTATTTATTCATTCAGAGGAATCTGCTTCCATGCTCATTACAGGTGCCCTCTTCTGGCCTGCAGACATACACACAGAATATTGTATACATAATAAATAAATAAATATTTAAAAAATAATAATAATGAAATTCATCTGTAGCGATCACACTGGTTTCAT